TTCTCACATGTGGTCCTGCTCCCCTGGGAAAGAAGTGAGGAGCCAGAGAGAGCCTAGAGGTTTGGGTCTCTCACAATTCTGTCCTAAAAAGTATTAATGACCCCAGGAGTTTAGTTGATGTGGGTTACATTTTCTATACTGTTGTTAGCCTCTGTTTGGATGATCCAATCACAGTGGGACAGACTGCTGCCTGATCCTCTGCCAGCCAGGTGATCAGTTGTGGATCATACCATTGTAATGTATACGTTTTCATTGACTGCTTTTCATAAGTAGATCATTAGGTTTTTCTTCCTACTCTTAGGAATCTCCACTGAATCTGTTCAGCATCACCACAACCCAGAAATCTCCACTGTCAGATGGTCGGTGGCTGGGAATCGAACTTCCACTTCCTGTAAGCTGAGAATTCTACCATGGAGCCATCCCTGCCTCCTTTTATATATTGACTGCATTAGGAATTATAACAGAGAAACTAGGCGAAGGTTTTGTCTGTTCATTTCAAATGACAATAAGCCATGTGAACACAACACATTTTATGAAAAATAACTAAAATTATATTTCCCCAAAATGAATTTGGTGAGGAAAGTGGCATTCTGTGGCGCTGTGGGCTAATGCATCAGACTGCAAGGTCATTTGAACTGCAAGGTCAGCTGTTCAAGTTCACCAGCTGCTCCTTGGAAACCCTATACAGGGTCACTATGGGTCGGAGTCAACTCAACGGCATTTCACAACAACAACAACTGCAATTTTGCAGATTTCTTCCATGGCTCATCCAATAGGAGATTAGCTTGTGCAATCAAGTTGTGATGGCTGGAAAACCCCACCCCTCACTCCCAAATGGATGGAAACGAGAAAGGCAGACTGTGTCCAAGTACTGTTATAAAAACTATTCAGGCCTCTCTTGCCCACTGAAAGGGACTCAAAGACCACCCCTCCCCAAGGGTCCCCAGAAAGCACCTAGAGTTCCTTATTTCCCACTGAAAATAAGGAAGAAGGGTTGGGGACAGCTTCTGCATCAGCCTTCAGATCTCTGGTTTGGTTTTCTACATAGATTACCTGCAACAAGGAACCCATTGTCCAAACAAGGTCATGAACATCACTCCGGAGGGGAGACAGCAACCAATAGTCAGAGGGAAAGTTCTCCCATCTCCCCTCGCTGAAGCCCTCTTTCCCCACTAGAGGGAGCTCCAGTCTCTATACTCAACCACCAACCAAACCCACTGCCCAGGGCGTCCTTTGGTCTCATAGGGACCCTATGGGACAGGGTGGTGGGTTTCCTGGGCTGTCAATCTTTTACCCAGTCGCTTTTCAGCAGGGTGTTGTTCAGTTTCCATGTATTTGACTTTATTTCCTTAGTCTTCTTGTTTTTGATTTCTAGTTTTATAGTATTGTGGTCTGAAAAGATGCTCTGTAATATTTTGATGTTTGTAAATTTATGGAGGCTTGCTTTTGACCTAACACATGGTCAGTTCTGGGGAATGTTCCATGTGCACTGGAGAAGAAAGTATATTGTGTTGTTGTTGGGTTGAATGCTCTGTACACGTCTATGA